GCTGCCCGTTGAGAATAGCACACGGTGAGAAACGCAAACGAGAACTTTTTCGCGATACTTAACGCCCATCGTCAACGGCATGCCATCGCGAGTCGCGTCTCCAATTAACGCGATTAGCGATTTCATTAGCACTAATTACATCACGCGTCGCACTTAACTCGCCCCTCTCTCACGTGTCCGCCCCGTGACGAAACAATGATTGATACCACGCGGTAGTAGTTTTCAGAGTTTCAGCTGTTCTTTTTTTTTTTTCTCCCCTCGCAAATCCGGGAAAGTCCGAAAAATCCTCTTTGAACTTTTCCAACAGGAAGGAGTTTTTTTTATCTCTGACGAAAACCTCATAAAGAAGTCGAAACTATCGGAACTATTTCCACCCAGCCGCCTACTTTTTGCACGAGAATTTAATAGCGTTGTATCGCACGCCTCGCCATTCCGAACTGCGGAGCTTTTAACAGCAAATTTCGACGTGATTCTTAATCGCGTCTGCGTTTCCACATACAAATTTGACGACCAGTTCAATCTTTTCTTTTTTATTAAATAGAAACTCACGTAACACCATCCAACCTACTCAGATTATTTCAGCAATGTTGCAGCAATATTTTTCTTTTTCTCTAAATAATTATCTCAAGCAACATTGCAAGCAAGATTCTGTCCGTGTGGATACTCGAAATAATTATTTTGAAAACGAAAGGAAAAGAAAAAAAATTCAGAAGGATCGTAAAATTTGTAAACCACTACAAGTCTAAAAATTATGATAATAAATTTACATCTTTCGAAGAATTTGAAAAGAATTTAACGAGAGACTCAGGCTGCTTCGCTACAGTATAATCCTGAATCTACCGGCGGATGTTTCACTAATTAAATTCGATAATTATATCTCGTCAGACGTGTAATAAATCGCTAGTCTTGGCGGAAAATTGAATGAGAAAAGCGCTTACCCGTTACGCTGAGCAGCGACATGTTCAGAGGTTCCCCCTTTGCTCGGCTGAATCTTTCAAGTTGTCTCTAATCAACCGAGCGGTGCACTCAATTCGTGTAGAGATCCGTATTGAAAGTTATACGCTGCTTTACGATGAAACACGCGCCGGTTTCGTGTAGATACACTGTGTCGTATACGATACGCAGGCTAAGTATCCTCCGCACGCCTGCACTAATAATCCTCCTTTCTCTCTTTTTCTTTCTCTCCACCTCCCCTCCACCCCCCTCACTCACTCACTCTCTCTCTCTCTCTCTCTCTCTCTCTCTCTCTCTCT